TTTTTTTGTGAAATTTCTTAATGTAATCACTAAAAATGCTGCAATTGTTCCACCTTAATGTACGTAAAAGTCCGTTCAGTTTGCCATTTTTGTTTTTGAAAGTGATAAGCAAATTACTACTTCTGATTGTTTGATGATCAGGAAGAAAAGCGAACTGACTTACGAAAGCGACGCAGCAGACGAAGCCTAAGAGTCGTAGCGTTGGGTACCGCTGCAGGTAAACATTGCATTTCTTATGCGCCGCGACTCACAGGCATCTCAAGGGTATTGTAGCTAAAGCTTGCAGTTTCATTCTTCCCTCTAATCAATGTTTGAAAGTACAGCAAAACTGTGTAGAATTAGTAATAAATTTTATGATATAGTTGCTTTCATATGTAAATTGAATAGAAATACATACAGGAACATTTTCTAGCAGTATAGCATACATTTGGCAATGAAGGCATTTTACTCTGGTCAGCAAGTGAACGTATGGTGATAATATAAAATTACAATAAACTAACAACAATGAAAAGTATTGAGAGGGGAGGGGGAGGGGGGGATAAAATATGAAAATATGCGAGAAAGAAAGCCCCTTTAACGATTTACGGCAGGTAATAGTTTACTGGAAGTGATCTGCGAGGCAATTTTCACAATAAACGCTACGATATCACAATAAATAAGGCTCCGTATTTCGAGTGACATGTTTAGATCGATAGGTCGATATTCACAAGATTCAAAAAGTATAGTATTTTTTATAAAACACCAAGTTTTCGTAATTCTTCTGTTTGTCGATCAAGCACATTTTGATTAGCTGCTAGACGTTCTCTTCGTTCGCGATCAAGTGTACCAAACCTGGAAGTAAGTTGATTTGAGTTGCGCTTACGGAATTCTCCGAAAATTTGGGATTTGAGTTTTGCTTACTTTAGTTCAGCAGCCGAAGGTCGATCCGGCTTTGGCGATGTCAATGGGGATGAGATTGTGGATGTAATTTCCTGCTCTCCTGTAGTTCTGGATGGCGGTCTCAATTCACGAGTCTTTTTCAAACCGGCTTTTTTGTCCAGGTAGAGCCTACTCCAAACATCACCGCGTTCCTATATAAGTTTGAAGTAGGATTTGAGCTATTTTGTAAGTAAATGCAGCGTGAGTCACCGGTGACTCACTGGAGGATAAACGAATTATGGCTGTCTTGCTTTGTTAGAAATAAAAATTAATAATTTTTTAAAGGATTTTCTACACACAGACACATGCAGAAGCGCTTCATTATAGATGAGTCACCGGTGAACACTGATTGAAAAACAATAATATGCTTTACCTTGTCTTCCGCGCTCTGACTTCGTTGTGTCACGGATTTTGGTAATTGTGGTAATTTTCGTTCAATAATGGGTGTTTTGATGCTGTCCGCACGCTTTGGAATGCGAGATGTTCTTGCTTCTGTGAATTCCGGTGGTCCATCAGTCGGTTTTGCTGGAGCGGTTGCGGTTGGAGCTGATGGCTGGAAAATTGGAGGAGTTGCAGACAAGGGTATACCCAAAATCACCAGTCAAAGAGTTAATGCAGGTAAAACTCAAGCTTTGATAGGTAAACGTAAGCAATCTTTCCCTTAAGAGTTCCCTCATGGTAAGCTTTTTCTAGCTCAAGTAAAACTCACTATTCGGCTACTTTTCTTTGAAGGTTGTGGTTGTGGAGTAACTGGTTCTTCATGGACTTC